AAACTCATTTTGTGGGCCATGGAAGTCCCACAAAGTCCTGAATCCCCCAAGTGCTGGGATTGGGTTTCAGTAATTTTTTTTTTTGTAGGTATAAATTCTCCTGCATGGGAGAAAAAGGAGCCTGGTGGGCAGAATGGAGCAAATCCCAGTGTGCAAGGCTGGGATTCACAATCTGTGTTCACAACAGGGCAGCAAATCCACTTTCCCTTTACCTGAGCTGGGCTTTTCCAACCAGGGCAGCCCCCAGTCCTCACCAGCAGGGCCAGCATTGCTGCAGATGCAGTGCCAAGATTGCTTCAAACCCCAGGAAAAACAAACGGAAAATGCCCCAGAGTGTGCAGAACAAAACATCCCCAGCAGCCAGAAATTCATGTCAGACAGGACAGGAAAATAAAGCCCTGAACCCTCACAGAAATTCACCTTCTCTCCTCTTCAAAAGCTGGAGAAATACACTCAATATTGGCTTAATCTTGAGACGTATCCCCAAATTCTCACCCTCTTGCAAGCAGGGCTGAAATCCCCTTGTATTTTTTTTTTTTTTCCCCTGCCTTCCTTAGATTTAATTTTTTTTGCTCACACCCTCACCCCATCCAGCAGGAGAGCAAAAAATTTCTGGGTGAGCAGAGCATCTGTGGTGACACTGATGTCCCTCAGGAGCAGTGTCTGTGTGACACTGGTGTCCCTCAGGATCAATGTCTGTGTTGGTGACACTGATGTCCCTCAGGAGCAATGTCTGTGTGACACTGGTGTCCCTCAGCCCCCAGCTCAGCAGCAGTGTCTCTGCTGGTGACACTGGTGTCCCTCAGACCCCTGGCTGTGTTTCCCTGTCCCTCACTGCCCAGTGTTGTCCCTTGTCCCCCTCTCCCAGCTCTCCTACGTGGACTCGGACGGGAACCCCATCGGGGTGGTGCAGATGACCTTCCTGCGTCTGCTGAGCGCCTCGGCCCACCAGAACATCACCTACAACTGCTACCAGTCGGTGGCCTGGCACGATGCCACCACCAACAGCTACGACAAGGCCATCCGCTTCCTGGGCTCCAACGACGAGGAGATGTCCTACGACAACAGCCCCTACATCCGGGCTGCCCTCGACGGCTGCGCGGTACGTGGGGGCTCCTGGCCTTGGGGACACCTTGGGGACACCTCTGTCCCCTCCCCTGCTTGGCCAGCACCGCCTTCCCTAGAGCAGATCACCCCCAAGTTCCCGGTGCTTTAGGGTTGTCCTTGACGTGGGAGACATCAACGTGCTCTTCCCTAAGGTGGAAATGATTCCGTGGGAATCCTGCTGGAAGTCAGGGGAGGCTGCAGCACGCCCAGGAGTCAAATTAATCTGATTAATCCAATTTATCTGCCTAAAAGTGCTGCTTGTTTTTGTTTAAAGCCTCCCTGTGCTTTTGCTCTGACCCAATTCCCCACACGGGGAGAGGCGAACGATGGCGCCCAGTTGGGTTGGAAATTTGCAGGGTTTGATAGGGATCTTTGTAACTGCTTCCAGGAATTCTGAAAATTTGGGTTGGAAATTGGGTTGGAAATTTGCAGGGTTTGATAGGGATCTTTGTAACTGCTTCCAGGAATTCTGAAAATTTGGGTTGGAAATTGGGTTGGAAATTTGCAGGGTTTGATAGGGATCTTTGTAACTGCTTTCAGAAATTCTGAACATTGGGGTTGGAAATTGGATTGGAAATTTGCAGGGTTTGGTAAGGATCTTTGTAACTACTTTCAGGAAGGGTTTGGTTGGAATTTTTCTTCTTGCAGGCCCAGGAAGGCTCTGGGCTGTGCTGCTCACGAGGTGCACAAGCACAGCCACAACTTCCAAAGGTGCCTCACGTCCTCCCTTTTCTTCTAACTCCTCTCAGATGCTTGATTTGGGTTTAAACTCTGAAAATTCTGCCCTCAGGAGATAAAAATTTGGCAAAGCAGGTGCTGTCTGCATTTATTTTGAGCCCCAGCTTGCTGGTGTAAAAACATGCATAATTCCCACCCTCTGGAACTGCAGCACTTGGAGCCCACGGGACAGAAAGATTGAGATGTTTGACAGAAAAAGCTCCTCATGTAATTTGAGATTGAAACGCTTCTGTTCTGGCACAAACAGATTTTTTACTGATGGAGCAATGAGGAAAATCAGATTAGAACTTTTAACACGTTCCTGGAGAGGGAAAGGGCATCCAGCCCCCTTCTGGAAACACTCAGGAGAAGTTTATCCTCAAGTTTTTCATGTCTCCTGCTGACATAACATCCTTGGGAAAAAGGGACTTCTCCTCCCTTCCCCTTCTGAATCTCAGTCTTGCTGGAGGACCACGTGTTGCACGTTTTAAAGTGGATGAGGCTCCTGAAAACCTTTACCTTTTGGGCAGATAAATTGGAATAATCTGCTACCCTGGCAGATTGTGCTGCTCAAAGCGCAGGCAGGATATTTGAGATTTATCTATTTACTTAAAGGAGTTTGGGGTTTACAATTGATTCTCTACATTAAAGATGATTTTAGTCTGACTCTCAGACCCATAAAAAGGCCAGTAGGAATGTGGAGAACTCCACCAGGTGTTTAGAGGTGCTTTTGTGTCTTTTTTGGGAGTGAGGGCTACAACCCATCCAATTGCTGGGCTCGGCTGTGCTGGATTAATGGTTGGACTCGATGACCCTAAAGGTCTTTTCCACCCTAAATGATTCCAGGATTGAGCCCTACCCTGTGGAGATGAGGTTGGGCTGCCCCACACGGGGTTGCCACAGAGGTCCTGCTGAAGCCAGAGGAACTTCAGGGCTGATGTTCTTCCCATAATTTGAATATGTTTTTCCTCAACTTCCAGCCCTTTCTCAAAGCTGTGCTCTAGCCTGTTCTCCTGAGCCACACAAATCACAGGGAAAGGTAGAGCCCAAAGCTGCTCCATAAATTCTCTTGTTTGTGCAGCTTTGTACGCCCTCGGGGGGTGCTTCTGCTCCTCTAATAATTATTTATATTTTGGAAAGAACTCCGTGGCCACCAGGCATGATAAAAAGACAGCAGTACCTTGTGAATTCCACCAAACTTTAAATGTGATCTTTTCACTAATATATTTTAATTAAATTGCTGCCATTTGCCCAACAAGCCAAGTGTGTCCTGGGGGAGGGAAAACAACCTTTGCACAGCCTCAACTTTTCCAGGCTCCCATTCCAGCCTGGAAATGTGCTGAAGCAGAGTTAGAATGCTGTGATCTGCTTCTGCTCCAAGGTCTGGGCATCTCCCAAGGGTTTTTTACCACATGTGTTAAACATGCAAATAAATTTGTTGGGGTGGCGGTGACTCCGATTTGGGTCCAAAAATTCCCAGCAAAAATCAACACCACATTCCCAGGAGAGTGGTGATTATTCAGTTGACTTGGAGGCATCCTCAGAGCTCCTCTTTCCCTCATTCCAGGCAAGGAAGGGCTACCAGAAAACCATCCTGGAAATCAACACGCCCAAAGTGGAGCAGGTCCCCATAGTCGACATCATGTTCAATGACTTCGGAGAAGCGGCACAGAAATTTGGATTCGAGGTGGGACCAGCTTGCTTCCTGGGCTAAAAGAGCCACCTGAACCTAGTCTCCAAATGAGCAACCTCGTAACCTCATTGCGCCATTTAATTAAAAACAAAAAAAGAGAAAAAAGAGAAAAAAAAGGAGAAAAAAAAGAATTCCTCGTCACGTGCACGGTCTGAAACTGGACAGCGATGGGTTATTATTTTTTTTTCCTCCCCCCCACCTATTTTGTTGTGTCCCTGGTTTTGTCCCGGCCCCTCTGTGCCCCCCCAGCCATTCCCAGGATGGATATGGAATCTCATGACCAACAGCCACACACGGAGACCTGGCCCTGTCCCTGCTGCCACCGCTGCTGCCCCGCGGCCACCGAGCTGAGCCCACCTCCAGCAAACTCCTCCTGCCTCCTCCTCCTCCTCTTCTTCTCACCAGGAAGCGTTTGTTTGTTCCTAAGGAAAAAAAAAATGGAAAAAACTTGAAGTTCCTCATGTCCAGCTCGATGTTGAAGTCCCGGCAGTCCTGGATCTGAAACTCCTCAGAGGGGTTTTGTTGCCTTCCACGAGGTTTGGATCAGCTCCAGCGTGGCCAATTCCAGAATTTTCTGTGTTTGCCTCATTCCACGTTTCCAAAGTGCTGACTCAAGGTCACACTGGGCATCTCTTTGCCTTGTCTTAAAGGTGCTTCTATTTTTGTATGTTTGTGAGTAAATATTTGTGTCGTATTTTATTTGAAATGTTGGAATGTTTCCGCCTTCGAACCACGCAAGTGACCTTGTCTGTATTGAAGCCACCCCATCCCAGCCAAGCTTCCAGCTGGGAATGAAGACAGCAGCTCCTGTCCCCACTTCTGCCTCTTCCCAGCCCCAGACTGGGATCTGGAGCCTTGGAATTTCCCCCAGGATCAGGTGCAAACCAGCCCCCTGAGCCACAGGTGCCTTTTGGAACGATTCCTTTCAAAATGAGGAAATTAAAGCCACTTTTTAACAAATTCCCTACAAATCCCCCTGATCTAAAAGCAGGATCTGCATTGAGTCTCTGCCTTTTCATCCACTTGCTTAACACCCATATTTTGAATTAATTCTTCTTTTTTTTTTCCTTTCAGCATTCCTTTAAAGTGATAAGAATTAAACCTGAATCCATTCCCAGTGGCAGATCCCAGTGGCAGGGGAAATCCATTTGTCCTCTCTGAATATCAAGAATAAAAAAATTAAAAATTTTTAAAAAAAAAGGGAAGAAGAAGAAGAAAAAAGGTGCTTTTTTATAGTTATTTTTACATATCTCTGTGGTGCTATCTGATAACTTTAACACAACACTGGGGATACCCTGCCACTGGCCAATCTCCCACTTGGCTTTTTAGGCACTTTCAGGCAGATTTTTGGCTGCTGATAAATGCATGGCACCTTCTTATCTCTTCTGTCCAAATCCTGCTCCTCTCCTTCCTTGGATGGGCCCGTGTAGAAAAAAAAAGCCTTAAATGTCTTAACAATTTAATATTATTATTATTATTATTATTATTATTATTATTATTATTGGTTTTCCCAAGGATATCCATGTCTTTTCCCGGCTGGAAGCAGAGCAGATTGTCCTCAGTGGCTGAAAGTTTGTGGTGCTAATTTATGAATTTATGAATTTATGAATTTATGTAGATGTTGGGTGTCCTGAAGCCGTGGGGGTGCTGCCCGCCCAGCAATCCTGGGAATTTGCAATTTTCCTGCTCTTCCCACTTTTTTTTTTTTTATTCCTTCCACGGCTCACAACGTGCTTGACACCCTCTTCTTTTCCCATTTATTTCTCCTCCTTGCCCGTTTTCCTTCTTCAGGTCTCTCAGCTGGAAAATAACTGTTGCAAGGTGGGGTTTTTATAAATTATTATTATTATTATTCCTCGGCCTGGAGCGTTCAGCTCAAGGGGGATTTTTCACCACCAAGGAAAAGACATCACATTTACTGTGAAAAAAGCCTATATATGATGTCTTTTCCCCCTTCCTGCCCAAATTGAGAGCAGCAGCATCCGAGGAAGGGAGGCAGAGCCGTGCTGGAGGGAGCGGCGATGCCGGCGGTGCTTTTTTGGGGCCTGGAGGAGCCGTGTCCATCCCTCTCCCTTCTTCATCCTGTGCTCTCTCCCACTTAAGGGAATTTAAAAAAAAAAAACCCCAAAAGGTGCTACCCTAAAAACTGCAGACTCCGGGCAGCAGAGCAGTGAAAAGGAATTTAGGATAATAAATAAGGAATTCAGCTTCTCAGTCACCTTGGCAACAGCGGGAAGGGCAGGAAAGGTTGCACATCCCAGCAAAGCCATATCCTGATTTTTTCTGATATTTGTCCACACCTGTGTGTCTGCCCAGGTCATGGGATTCTGTTCTCAATTTTCTCATCAAGGGAGCTTTTTTTTTTTTTTTTCCTTTGATTTCTCTGCTTGAAGAAGAAGAAAAAAAAAGAAAAAAGAATAATAAATTTCCTCTGTTGAATTCCACAGTGTTGTAATTGTACTGAGCTCCCAACTGTTCCAATCCCCCCAGACCACTTAGCTACGGTATATTGCAATAAAATTACTACTTGTATTTGCAGACCTTTCTTTTTGTGTAATTTTATTTCCCTCCTCCCCTTAATATATATTGACTTGAACAAATGTTGATAAGAAAAATAAAACCTATGGAAAAAAATACCCCAACTTTTAGTACACAAGGCCCTTTTTAAAATATAGTGTCAAATGCCATATTGTACATTTCTTCAAAGTCCAATAAACATGTCATAAAATTTCAGTGTAATGCCCATAAGAGCTATTTTTAAATATTTTAAACCTGTGTAATAAAGGAATAAATGTAATAGATTTTTTTTTCAATAAATCAAGTTTACTGTTTCCACCTAAACCCCCGTGATGTTGAATCTCTTCTTGGAGTTGATTGCAGCAGGATTTCCCCAGGACCCCCCTGCCCTGTGGAGCCTGCAGAGTTCATCAGAGCAGCAGTGGAAGTGCTTAAAGGTAAAGAAATACTGCAAACCACAATCCAAACCCATCACGGGGAGGAATTCCAGGCCTGGAATATTTTATTTGTTTTTGGTTTGTTTTTTGAGTTTTTTGTTTTTTTTTTTCACAGTGAGGAATTCCAGTGCAAAAATCCAGTGTGGTTTTGGTGGCTGGGATGTGGAGGAGAAGATTGTGTGGCAACCAGCTCTTCACCTTCTCCACACCACCAGAAACTTTACCAGAGGAGATATGCTGTTGCTGATCTTCTCATCCCAAGACAAATTCAGGAAAAAAACAAATTTTCAGCTTCTTGGTGAGCTCCTCAACCCCCAAATTCCTGTTCTTGGCCCCAGGGCTCTGCTGTGTGGAGGGAAACACCATGGGAAACACTTTGCTCATCTTCTCCTCCTCCTCTCCTGCAGGTTTCACCCCAGGATCCTCTGGAATTCACTGTGGGAGACTGCACCAAAGGCTGCCACTGGATCTGAGTCACTCTGGGTCTCAGGGTGACCTTCAAACCACCCCTGGCTGGTGCTGCAGTTCCAGGAGGTGCTGGACCTTCAGGAGGTGATGTTTGGAGCACTGCAGGTGGGTCAGGGGCCACAAGCCCAGCTCTGTGTCCCAAAAGCTTTTCCCCTTCATTCTTTGGCTGCAGAAGATCTCTGAGGATCTTCATTCTTTGCTGGAAGGTGTCCAGAGAAGGAGCCAAAGTCACAGACTGGGGTGGGTTGGAAGGGAAGTTGAAGATCAGCCAGTTCCATGGGCAGGGACACCTTCCACAGCCCAGGGTGCTCCAAACTCCATCCAACCAGGACCTGAAATGGTTTAATCTTTAGTTATTTAGACTGTCATTAACTTCTTGGAGTAGTTTTGGGAAATCTTGGGGTGTTATGGCCAAATCTTCATCCACATGGACCCCAGAAATGCAGAGGCACCACAGCTCCAGGAAGAAACGAGGGCAAAATAACTTTATTTACTTAAACCTGGCTGGAAATAATTCACTTGGACCTTGATCATGCTTCAAGGTGACTCCAGCCCCATCTCACCAGTTGTGATTTTCCTCAATCACTGCTGCTTGCAGCAAATGGCTCAGTGCTGAGGGAAGCTTTGATCTGCTATTAGGGAAAACCAGAGATCTGAGGAGGGATCTGACTGGTTCTGGCACTGCCAGCCACAGGAGCCCTGGCAGATCTTTCACCTCTTTTCCCAGAACAAAGTCCAGGATTTAGTGCTCCCGCTCCAAAGCTCTTAACTCCAGCAGGTGAAACGCTGAGGGGGATTTTTAGAAGAGCCACAGAAAGAGCAGCAGATTATTGAGACAGAGTGAGAGCCCCCAAACCTGCTCAGTTACGGGGTGAGGATGGGGCTGCTCATCCCAAATTCCAGCAGCAGCTGCCTCCCCACCTCAGGGATCCCACAAGGGCAGGACCAGGAGCACAAACCTCGGGAAGCAGCAAAGGGAGGGTGAAAAGCACCAAGCTCAGCACCCAGGGGGGGCCAGAGCAGCACCCAGCCCAGGAGTGGGAATTATCCAAGGGCAGCTGATCCCAGTGGGATTTCCACAGCTTTTAAAGCAGGGAAAATAAGGCTGCAGGGCTTGGGGCTGCTGCTGTGCCTTGCTTTGCATGTGGGGTGTTATTCTGAGTGCCCTGGGCTGGGATTTCTGCCCTGGGCTGGGATTTCTGCCCTGCTGTGTGAGGAGAGCAGGTGAAGCTGCAGAGTTTTCCCCACAATGTTGGTTCAGCAGTTGTCTGAGCTGACCCTGGCACGAGGATGTGTCCATGTGCTTCCCACACTGAGCCAGGGGTAAAACAGGCTGCTGGGGGATTTGTTGTCTGCCTGGGAAATGGGAATTGTTCTTTGCTTTGATTTTCAGCCCTGCTCTGGAGGAAGAGGCCCAGCCCCTCATGCTGCTCTGTGACTGGTGACTCCCTGCTTTTTATCTTGGATTCCCTTGGCTTGCTTCAGTTGCACTCAATCATCTTAAGGTCTTTTACAGCCTGAAGAATTTTGTGGTCCAACAGGTGGAGCACTGGCTATCCCTAAAAAAGCCCATCCTCCATGATTGGTAGGAGTGGAGCAGAGAGCAGAGCCCAGAGGCTCTCACCAAACACAGCTCCCCCAGCCCTGCGGTGACCTGGGGCTGCACCAGCAGGGACCAGCACATCCCACTTCCTCCTGGGAGCTGGGAAAGGGGACCAGGATCACAGCCCTGCCATGTCCCACTCCCTGTGCCCCTCGGGGTCACGTTGGGACCACAGCTTCTGCTCTCCACAAGATGTCACAGCTCTGGTTGGGATGCTCCTGCTGCTGCCGCCTCTCCAAGAGATGTTCCTCCCCCATCTCCTTAAACACTCTGTTTACAACAGACTGGTAAAAATAAAAATGGCCAAAAAAGGAGCGTTGGCACTGATTAAATTTAGAGACCAGATCCTGGGCATCCCCTCCCTGTCTAGGTGAGTTTTGGCAAACAAGAAGGGAAGCTGTGAATGGGTGTTTTATACAAAGGATTGAGCAGCCTGAGAGCCACCCTAGCTCTCCTGGAGAGACAGAAACAGCAGGACCAAGTGGGAGGCTGGAATGAGGAGGGGAGAGGAGTGTGCATGAATTAGCATGGGGAAAATATGCAAATTGTTGGGTAGAGTGAGGCTCTCATGGCATTCAAAGGAGCTCGAGCTATTCTTGTCCTTCAGCTGCTTTTTGTTCTGCATCCTCTCCCAGCTAGGCTGGATTTGACTTGGGTTTGTTTTTATTAATGTCTCAAGCAAAGAGTAGGATTGATCTGACCCACAATTCTGGGAAAAGGAAAAAAAAACCACAAAAAAAGTCTTATATCTTCCTGTGAGAAAAAAACAAGTGAGCTGGAGGTGCTTCTGGCAGTGCAGCACCACCTGTAAATTAATCTACAGAGCACCCAGAAAAGCTGAAGCAGTGCAAGTCAAATGTGTCCCCTCTTTTCACACCTCGCCCAGGAGCTGTGCCTCTGCAAATTACCTGCTCTGGCTTTCCAGACAGACAATTTCCATGGTTTTTTTTTTTAATATATTTTTCTTTAACAGGAGTGCTCAGTGCTGTGTGTGTCACTTGGCACCACGAGCCCGGTGTCCCTCTGCCATGAGCAGGTGGGAAGCAAGGATTTATCATAATTATCCATCAATTATTGCATCCCTGCATAATCTGGATCTTCCTTAATTTTTATTTTCTTCCCACGTGCTTTTCCTTTAAGGCAAGAGCAACCTTTGAGGCCAAGCTGGGCTGATGTTCCCAACATCTGTCAGGGGCTGTGTGGGCAGGGCTGCTCCCCTGCCACTGTGCAGTGACCCAAAAGCAGCCTTGGAAATAATTCATCCTTCTTAATTCATCCTTCCCTCAGCACTTCCAGCTCTGGGGAATCCAATCCCTGTTCCCATCGAGGGGATCTTCTCTGGAAGTGCTGAAGAAGCCCTTCTCTGGAAGGGCTCTTGCACTGAAAACCCATTTTGCTTTTGATCTGAGAGCAGGAGGAGTTTGGTGAGCTGTACTTTTATTAATGGCACCTATTGCCATTTCATTTATTCCTTCTGCCTGCAGATTTTTCCCATCCTGGGGCATCGTGGCAGCAAAGTGATTTTCTCCAGAGGCACAACCTTGGTGCTTCCCACATCCCCTGCCTGCTCCTACCTCGGCAAAAAACAAAACCCAATTCATGCTCCCAATTCCTCAAACAGCCCCGAGCAAAAACAAACACCCCAAAGAAACCAAACACACGAAAACCCTGCAGAAAGCAGCTGTTCCCCTCCTTCAGAGAGGAGCCAACGTGCTCTTTCCTTCAGAGATGCACAACCAGGCGAGCTCTGGAGCGCTGAAATTACATCTTGTCTGTCACGCTCAGAGGCACCCCTGGCACTGCTGCTGCTCAGCTCAACAGCCAGAGCCAGCGTGGCAGCCCTGGGACTCCGTGTTCTCATCCTGCCTAATTATTAATATGTTAATTGGACAACGAGATGTTGTTCTTTGCGGAAAATTTCCTGCGTCGCGCTTGGATTATTCTTTTTTTTTCTTTTTTTTTTTTTTTTCCCATTGCTTCCCTGCTGGCAGATTTTTTTGTTTTCTCAGCCTGGGCAGAGCAGAGCCTGAAGGATCTTTTTGCTACATCCCTGGAAGTGTCCAAGGCCAGGTTGGTTTGGAGCAAGCTGGGATAGTCAAGGTGTCCCTGCCCTGTCCCTGGATGAGCTCTAAGGTCCCTCCAACCCAACCTAATTCAGGATTCTCTGATTCCCTGAGCATTCCAAGGTGCCCAGAGAGTCCCAAGTCAGGAGAGCATCAGGAATAATTCATCAGCATGAATTATTCCCATTATCATGCTGATAATTTGGGAATATCCCACAGCCAAGCCCTCCTGAAGGTGGATGGGCATTGCCATGGTTGTGTCATTTCCTGGGGATCCAAAGGGGAAAACGCCCTGACTGTGCCTTTTTAAGTTTAAAATGTCACCAGGAGCTGCTGGGGGTCTGCCAAAGGTGGTCTCACACATGCCAGGTGTGCTGATGAGTAAGATCTCTTCAGGACTGAGGCACAAATTCCCACCCAAAGCTCTCCTGAGGGCTCCCAGATGGAAAACTGGGCTGGGGAAGTGCCTCCCTTCAGCCCCCATTGCCCCCAGAGCTGAAGGTTGGACCCACCTGCTCCTCACTGCCACCAGCACGATGCTGAATTTCAGGAGGGAGCAGCAGCCACTAAAAAAAAAACAAAACAAAATTGTCCCTTTTTAGGGTTTTCCCTTCAAGCAGGTTGATCCGAGACCCTGTTGAAACAGAAATCAAAAACCTGCCAGACTCAGAACATTAATTAAGACACACAACAGGGAGAGAGGGGGAGGAGAAGGAGGGGGGCATCCATTCAGGAATTATCTGCTCCACAAGGCAGCGTTCGTGGCTTCCACGCACATCCATCATTTTTGGGGGGTGGGGGAAAGCAAGAAATTAAATCCAACCCCAGAGGAAGTTTGTCCACCACCATGGATTTAATTTCCCAACTTGCATCAGGCAAAGATTAACCTTGCTGAAGGGCACCAGTGGAGCGGGGAGGAAAGCACAAATTAATCCCTGCTATGAGTTTCTTCAGGAGGAAACACCGAGCAGGATTAAATATTTATTGTATATAAATACCTTCTTTCCCACCTCCCCCATTTCCTCTCCTGATCTGCATTTCAGGCTCCTTCCAGTTTGCCCAGCAAGAGTGCAAGGGTTTGTTTTTCCTCCTGGATGAGGAGGAAGGCTTGAGGAATAATTCATTTGCCACCTTGATTTTTCCCTCTCCTCCCCTCCCATGATTGATACCGTGGCACTTAACGGGGAGAAAATCAAGTTGTGCTGATCTATGACCAGGCACTATTTATTCTCATAGAACCTCATCTGCAATTTTCTTCAGCATCCTCAGAATTAAAATCCCTTTGCAATCTCTCCAGCTGGCTGAAAATGTGCCATTTCCCTGCCTCCCCTCCTCAGACGTCTTTTCCCTCTGATCAGGGCACGCCGTTATCGATGATGTGATTCTGCTTTACATTCAGATGCTTCTGGAGTTTTTTGGACCATAAATAATGTTCCTGTGCAGCTCAGGCAGAATCATTCTGAGGGTTTGGTTGGGTGTTTTTTTTTTTTCCTTTTCTTATTCCTTTTCTTTCCCTCTTTCCCTTTCTATCTTTCTTTCTCCAGCTCTTGCAAGGGGTGATAAATTCAGCATTTCTTCCCCCGTAGCAACCACCAACGTGCAATATGGAGCCCATTCCTTCACACCTGGGATTTAGGATGGGGGGTGACCCCACAAACAGGAAAAAACCCCTTTTCTGTGGATCCTGAGCTTCCCGGGAGGAACAAACCAGCCTGGAACAGAGCAAAACCCCTTTTCTGTGGATCCTGAGCTTCCCGGGAGGAACAAACCTGGAACAGAGGATGGCTCAGCACTTTAATCCTAGAAAGCAGCAGAGGGTCATGGTGGGGACAGCCTGGTCCATGCTGGGGGCATTGCTGGAGCAGATGAAGATGAAAACTGGGTTTGTTTTAGAGATGACCTGTTTTCCATGGATATTTCTCCTTGATGGGATGATGGGCTGGCATGGATGTGCCCTCTGGATCCTGCAGCACAAAAGATGTGACAGCAAGGCTGGCTTGCTGCAAAACATTCATATTTGGGGGGTTTTGTCTGATTAGAAATAGAAAAACATCTGAAAGCAGCTGGAGATGATAATCCCACCAGTTCTTTCACCTCTTGATTCCCCTCTCTATGAGCTGGAGAGTGTCTCCCTGCTCCCCAGGGCTGCAGGAGCAGGAGCAGGAACATCTCCAGGTCACCAGTTCCACCCGCTGACCTCGGCCTGCTGCGATAAACTGAGCTCAGGGCGAGGAAATGCCCTTGAGACGTGCCAGGAGTGGGTCAGCCTGGAAATCAGGAAAGGTTTCTTCACTGAAAGGGTTGGTCAGAGCTGGAAAAGCTGCCCAGGGAAGGGGTGGAAGGGTCTAAAAGACACAGGTGTGGCACTTGGGGACAGGGGTAAGCGGTGGCCTCGGCAGTGCTGGGTTAAAGGCTGGATGCGAGGATTTTCCAGGGTTTTGCTGTGATTCCATGACCCAAACCCATCCTGGGGGCTGCACTGAGGGCACACTGAAGGTGCCAGGGGCTGGGGCTGGTTTGTGGCTGATTTGGAACTCTGGGACAGATCCCAGGTGGCTCCAGCTGAGTGAGGGGGGTCAGGACCCCCAAAATCAGCCCCAGCATCGCTCCAGAGCTGCTGGAGTGAGGTCATAGAGGGGACTCAGTTCTCCTCCTCTCCCTGCTCCAGAGCTTTCTCCCTGCTGCCCAGGGATGGGGAGAACCCCCAGGCTCCATCAGGATGGGTTTTCCAATCATTTTGGGGTCCCTGCCTTTAATTTCCAGCACCAACAGCCCTTTGAGGCTCAAAGGGAACCCACCCGAAAATGTCTGTGCCACGGAGCCGTTCCCCACTTGAAAAGGCTTTGCTGGGGCCCATCCAGCACCCTCCACACGCCTGAATTCCTGTTTATTTTTTAAAAGCCCGAGATTTTGCCTTGTTTTGTCTCTCGTTTTGCAGAGTTAATCGGATTGGCAGGCACAGAAAGGAGCTGTCAGGGGAAGCAGCTGCCGAGCAGCACAAAGCTGGGTGTGTAATCCAAGCTTTACCCACAGCCTTATTAAGATCGAGATGTCTCATTACAGGGTGGATTTCCAGCTGGATTTCACAGCTTTTGTGATTTCTCCCTTTCACCCCCTCCTCTTCCCAACATTATTTTTTTTTTCCCCACTCATATAATTCCCTGCTTTTCGCTGGGGGGAAAGAATTTGGTTGA